TTATATTAGTGTTTTCATACTTTGATCTATATCATTCAGACTTTCAGTATATCAGTATGTGTTTCTTTATCTTCAGCATTCAGTATGTTATGATATCACATGTTGATTCAGCCAGCTAGTTGGTTCGCTCGGTGACATGTAGTCAGACACCGAGTGTCGTGTTATGTCTAGGCCTAGGTTCGGGGCGTGACAGGGAAACGTGCCCGGATTTACTTTTTGGTTGACTTTGTGTAATTGATTAAAGATCCAAGCTTTATGCTTTGTAATTATTTCCTTTAGCATTATTTGACACCATGGTGTATTAATTGACTAGATTTGAGTCGTTCGGAGGCCGATTTGTGAGGTAAGGCATTCTTGGAGTATCAATTTTGCTCGTTTGAGGTAAGTATCTTGCCTAGCTTTGGTTGGAGGGACTAGTTTCTTTAATTATTGATGATGGCTATGTGTTGACGGTGACGTACATACGGAGCATCGAGCATATGTGCATGCGCCGTATTTTATCCATATTCGGGGTAGTTTTTAGACTGTGTTATGTCTTGTTTGGATACTATCCTTCTTGCTAGCATGCTTCATATGTTTTTACGACGTCGTGAACTTCTTGAATCATGCTAGAGATCATGTGTAGGTTGACTTCCTGTTCAAACATGATAATTGTTATTTTATGGCGTATCCGTCTAATCTGAGTTGTAGTAGCAGACTCGCACATGTATACACCTTAGAATGCTACATTTCATCAGTCCATGATAGGTTATTTGATATCCATTGTTCATATACATGTATCCTAGTATATGCTTTCGGTGTGATGGACTGGATTGACATCACGTTAGTGATCCATGTGGGTTGAGTTAGCACGTGAGTGGTCCGTGCGGTTGTTAAATTATGGCACGTGAGTTGTCCGTGCAGCGTGTGGATGAAGATCCATCCACTTAGGGTCGTCCTCTTATGTTTCTCTCTTGATGACATAAATGCGGTATAAGAAAAAACTGATTAGTGTTTGGTTTTTGCGTATCTTCTTTTTATGCAAACACCTTGGGTGTATACATGATTTCACCTCATATCTTCTCTATATGCTAGTTTTGGAATGTATACATGCCTCTTTATACATGTATTCTCTTATGCTGCTTTGGTTGAAGAATGGAATCACGGTACATATCTTCTCTATATGTTAAGCTATGCACCTTGATTTGATTATTTATGCATATCTTTTCTATATAAAAATGTTGATGATTCATTGGTGTTAGATGAATTTCTTATCTATATACTGAGTTGTTGAACTGTTACAAGACTTGTGCAAATCTTCTCTAAGTGCACTGATTGGTTGTACCTGTATTTCATGCTTAGATTTTGGTACTGTTGCTATGTACTTGCATATTTATGAACTGAACAGTTTGTTATATGAGTATAATTGGCATATATCGCCACTACCTCGCCGAGTGGTTAGTCATGATACATATTGAGTACATGTGATCGGTTGTACTCATATTACACTATGCACTTAATTGTGTAGATTCAGGACTTGGTCCTAGTTGAGTTGTTGCTATGTTGTTGAGACCGAGGTAGAGCTGCTCTCTGATCGCAGTTCCTGGCGTCTCTTCATATCTTTCATTACTGTTGTTGTTTCAGACAATGTTTTGTATTAGCATACTTGTATTCGTACTATAGAGCGCATAACTCCGTGTTACCACTTTCTGGGGATAGTTGTAATGATTTGGTGTTATTTGTGCTTATTTGGATCGTGACATCTACTCAAACGGTTGCAGATCCATTGGCTCAGCTGATTCCTAGATATGCATATCTTTATTCAAGCAAGATCTTGAGGAATATGTGGGCTTTAATATAGAGTCATTGGTTTTTGATTTATTTTTCTCAACGTTCATGTTTATAATTATTTTTAAAATCAAAATAATTTTGATTTGCATACGCTTATTATTTGAATACCTGTGTACATTCTTATTCTGAATGTTATTGTACATTCAAATGTGAAATGCTTTTTGTGCATTTTTTTATATTATTGAAAGATATGTTAGGTAGATAGTGGTCAGTTTCTAGAAAAGGTGATAGCCTCTAAAAATTTAGTGTTGATGGGAGATGAAACGAGACTTTAAGAAAATTATCATGCAGATAATTCAAGAGCACGTGTCTTAAAGATCTTTAGCGCCGCACAAGTGATGACAAAAAGTCATTATAGTGTTTTGTTGGTGGAAATAAGTTTCATCTAATCTACTTGAAAGGCTAGATGTGAGTTCATGTTTATTGAGTAGATCAAGAAACTCAATTCAGATGCATTTTGTGTCTGAATATCATCTGTACATCATTATCTTATGAGATAAATATATACGCTCCATGGGAAAGGAGAAAATACTATAGTACATATTTTCATAGTATGTGTGCAAATGTCGACCGAAAAGGGTTAACATAAGTTGTATCTCAACTTATTGTTGTGTAAGATAAGTACCCTCACGGCTCCTACCAGTGGCTCGAAGCTTGGTTCGATGTTTGCTATCTTTGCATGCTACCAAATGACCATGGGAGATTTGGTTTGGCGGAGCATGACTAGAAAAGCGAACTGAATTCAAGTTGAGAGACTCGTGACAAGAGAAAGATCATTGATAGAATCTCATTTAGTTTGTGTTTGCTAGTACCAATTAGACTTATGAGTCAGAATTGTGAACACAAGAAACTATTTACATAAGATCTCGTGGATGTATCAATGTGATTCAAATGATCTAGGGAACTAAGCATATATTAGATAATCTACCAGAAGATTTTCATGACGATGATGAGAGGCTATACATTCCTAATAGATTTATAGCAACAAGCTATCACAGTATGCTGGTTGCACGATCTATTTATCCAGTATGAGTGATGCAAGAGAAATGGAAGGAAAATGTGTTTCCCTTAGTTTGATGGAGCTTGAGCACTCCCTTATATATGAGTGGGAGATGTTATGGGCCTGGTACACTCATAAGGGGTGCCAGCTTTAGCCGACCCATTAGGTCTAACCCAAAGCCTAAGTGCAGTCTATATAAACACCATTATGGGTGTTGGGAGACTCACTTGTTCACAAGAGAGAACGACTAGGGTTTGTTCTTTGCATGAATTTTAGAGATGAGTAGTAGGTTGTGAACAAAGGGAATGCATCCGATTTGTGAGGATTCCTGGCGATAGGTGACACAAGTCGTGGTTGCTACAGATCCACTTACGTTAAGGAGAAACCTGTAAGTCTCCTAACTAGTATTTACGGATAAATACTACACTGAATGAACATGATTTGTCATAAGGAATATAGCATGCTTCCAAGTAAAAATTTGATGAGAGATGCCAATAATCCCTTTCTCTTCGTCGGGTACAAAGTGGATGTAGAGAGTGTAGTTTGGCATATCACCAAGTTTGAAAAGGTCAACCTAGGAATTTGGGATAACAAATGATATTTTTTGTTACGACCCAAAATCTCACCTGAGCCGTGATGGAGCCTACACCGCTTGCTACCCAAGCCAACAATAAATATGCGGAAACAAACTTCAACAATAGTAAGAACACGAGGGACAAGATGCGAACGCGGACATCTGCTGCCCGACCTCCTCCAACACTTCCCGAACGCGAAGCCACATGTGTGAACACGATAGACATCTCCCACAACACTCCGCGAATGCGATGGCATCCCCGTGAACGCGATGCACAAATCATCAGTGACCAAAATACTCTACGCGATCGCGAAGCTCCTTCCATGATCACGAAGCTCATCTTATGCACCAGAAAATCAGCAATGCAAACTCATCCGAAATGATCTGAAACGATCTGAAACCACCCTGAAACACACCCAAGACCTTCAGGATCCCGTACAATCATGCTAACAAGTCCAAATACATCTTCCAAACTTATCCAAAGGCTCGAAACACTACAATTAACATCAAAACCAAGAATCGAAGATCAAAATCCTTCTTTTAACTTTCAAACCTTCAAACTTCACCGAACTCGTCCGAATCACACTCAGACACTCTGAATCACAATCAAACTTTGCACACAAGTTCCAATCAACTAAATGAACCCAACCAAGGTCTCAAAACCACAATAGGAGTGAGATAACACCGAAGTCAACTTCTGGTCAAACCTATAAACTCTCCAAATCTTCAAATTGCCAACTTTCGACAAATAGAGCCAAAACTTTCTAGGAACGTCCTAATTCAAATACGAACATACGCCCAAGTCCAAAATCACCATATGAACGTATTGAAACCATCAAATCTCGATTCTGAGGTCGTTTACTCAAAAGTCAAACATTGGTCAACTCTTCCAAGTTAAAGCTTCCAAATTTAGAATCACCCTTCCAAATCAACTTCGAACCTCTTGAAAATCAAAACCAACTATACATGCAAGTCATAATGCGTCATATGAAGCTACTCAAACTCTCAAACCGCCGAACGAAATGTTAAACCTCAAAATAACTAGCCGGGTTGCTATATTTTTGTTGTAAGGTACAAATGTTTATTTTACAATTACAAAATGGTGCAAACACTTCCTCCTTTGATTTATGGAATATTTTCATACTATAGGGTGTGTTTAGTATGAAGAAAAATATTTTCCTTGGAAAATAAGTAATTTTCTTACTCATTTTCTGATATTTGATTAGGTAGCAAAAATATATTTTTAAAATATATAATTTAGACTAACACAAAGGGAAGCAAAATGGGCAATGATGGGGTAGGGTGGGTTAAGNGGAGGGGTTGGTGGCAAGGTGGGATGGGGGTGGTGGGGGTAGTGGGTGGAGTTAGGTAATAAGATGGAGAAGGTTGAAAAAGAATTCTGAAAAATATTTTACCTCCTTTTGGTAGGAAAATCATGTTCCTCCAATTTGTGAAAAATGAGTTCATGAATAAAATATTTTCACAACATTTAAGCCAACCAAATATGAAAAAATGGGAAAACATTTTCTTTTCATACCAAACACACCCATAAAATTAACTGTTTTTCCAACTACAAAAAGTATATATTTCTATAAATAATAAAGCAAGTGTATATATCTGTATAAGATACTTTCACTTTTTGTACATAAACTCTAATTTAAAAATTGTTTTACATTTTCAAATGAGAATGAAAACTCGTAAGCTCCATAGAAAAAGTACTAAAACTATTTTGTACATATTTACTGATTTTCACTCCTCTCTAGGAATCCATCTGCTCCACCATAAACTTTTCTTTTGTCTGCTAAGCTCATCGATACTCTCATTCAGGGTTCTTAAAATTTTCCTTTGAAGCCGAAGAGCTGATGCAAGGGCATTCCTCTGCGTGCTTGACTTATTCTTAGGCTCTATATCCTGTAAATCTCAAAAGGAAATGACGAAAGTGTATCAGGAAATTCTACCCTAAACTCTATTAACCAACATTGGTATCCTGCAGTTTTGAAAAGTTGGATTTCCACAATTTTCACTATACAAATATGTCAAGGAGAAACAAAGGATTTCAAAGCTAGAGGTCCCAACCTTAATGACCGCGACTAGTTATATATGCCATGAGAAAACATACCCTGAGGTCCTGAAGTTGCGCTTCAGTGAAGCCGCCATCTTGTTCTGTTCCTGATTTTGCCATTAATTGAACAATCCAGTTTGCAGCTTCACTATAGTCTTGTTGTGTAGCCCGGAAGAATTGCAGCTTTAGGTTCTGAATGAAGGACAGGGCCAATAGACCTTCTCTATCAAAGTAAGGATGAGCTAAAGCTGTCTTTGCACTAATTCTTTGACGTGCTTTGAAACGAACCATAGATGCTAATAGCTCCCACCCTATTCCACCATCCAAATCTAACAACTCGAAGCCTTTCCTAAGTTCAGGGCTAGCACGAGGCTCTACAGTCTGTCTCCATGAAACCAAATCGTAGTCGCATCTCTTCAGCTGTCGGTTGAATTGAATGAGACTACTATCACTGCGTAATCCTGGGAATGCCTATGATGGAACGAACAGTAGCAAAGTGCTTGTAAAATCTTCAGGAGGTGTGTCAGTAAATGTTAGAAGATAGAAATATCAGCATTTAGTTGACAAAAAAAAAATCAGCATTTAACTTATTTTTGACTGTAACGATTAATTAGTTCCAGAATCTTGTGCGTGAAATACTCAAATCTATTTTATTTTTGTTTAACTATCCGGCATCCAAAGTCCATTGACCAGACGAATCCGAGTTCGCACTGGGTAGGCCCCCTAAGGGGGCTAAACCGCTCCCTACACCTAAAAGTTCTCCATTCTTAGGGCTCGAATCTATGTAAGCTGCACATCACTCAGTGATGTCAGATTCTTAAGAATAAATCCTATCTCCTCGGGGGTGAAATTATTAGATCCTGCCCCAATTTTTAACAGCACCGCTCCACATTGCTAAAGTGTCAATTAGCCATTTCCAGCTGTTGTTTTATCATATTATATATTAATACGTAATGTGGATCCAGTTGGAACATGTAAGATCACATCTAATGCTCAATTTGTTAAAAAAGTTTAGGATTCCAGATCTTGGTTATAGGAGCTAAAGAAAAGGAGAAAGGAAACCTAAGAAATAATGGCTCTGCTTGCTGCTAGCTTAATATCCATAGCGTCGAAGTTCCTATTTGCAGGTCATACTTCAATTTCTTCCTCCTGTACTCAAAGGAATGATATCTATATATTCAAATAAGGAGAATTAAAAGAAATGGACATTCTCTTTGTTGTCTTCCTTTTAATTCCTGAACTCAAAGGTCTAGGTTCTCCGGGAAGAGCTAATTTTATCTAAGAAATATTTATGGTTTAACAGCTTTTGAGTTGAAACTTACCATTTGCAGGAATATGAGACCGACACTGTAGATGTCAAATCTATCTGGGAGATTCAGCTGTTAAAAGAATAGGATAAAACATAGTTAATTTTACAGATAAAATAGAGGTATTGGGCGAAAACTGAGTGACTGCGGTCATCAAACCTGCCATAGAACTGGGGAAAGTGCAGTTGCAACTGGAGCAGATGGTGCAGAAGGGGTTTGTGTACTCATAATATATTGCTCTGGTGCAGCGTATCTTGACCGAAAAAGACAGACAATTAGATAAACAAGTAAACCAAATTCTTAAGTAAAAGACCTAGCCATATAAATATACCAAGTTATAAATGCTATTATCTGAAAGTCTGCTGAAAAACAGATAATCAATAACATAGAATGCTCTAATGAAATCTATTTTTTATTCACCTTTTAATGGTACAAAGGTAAGAGTGAAGAGCATACCAAACTCATTAGTCAATATACAGTTGGATTAACATAGTGGAACTTAAATTGATCCTTGAGACATCAAGTGAAATAAGAGATCGATTCACTTCGTTATACTTGAATAACGAACATAATCATTTATATTCTGTCCATCTCTTCCACATGTAAATTAAGATAATATAACTAATACCATTAAAAATAACAAGCAGAAACATGCCATAAATCAAATGTCAAAGCCATCTAGGACAACACCATTGCCGGTAATGTACACCTTCGAATGTGCGAGACAAGTACTCATATCATTATTAAGTACATAACATACTCATAAATAGGGAAAATCTGAAATTTCAATCCTCAATTTCAGGCAGATTACTCTGTTTGGTTCCACATTTTTTTTAATTTACAGCATGTAACATTCAATTCGTTAGCTTGAACAGTCTGGAAAGAACACCTTTAAGCTCAAATATAAGGTTGATTTTCCTGATAGTCTTCTAAGAACTTATAAGGGTTAGCACCTATGGTTCATGTACGAGGTCCAAGGAGATCTGGTTATAAATATCAAAAAGTGTGATTAACAACATTAAAATATGTAGGTGGAACAAAATGTCTTATTGTTGTAGTCAAAAATTGGAAATGGATCGACAAGCATGTTGGCTCTGTACTTTATTAATCCATGATAGCACCAAAATACCCAGATTAAAATGTTGAGAGATTAGAATATAAAAAGGATGAAAAATGCATGTACTTTTTCTTGATTGTTGTATTTGATTTTGATTGGAGATTTTTTTGAAATGAATATTCAAAAAGAATGATAAGAAGACATCAATATGAGCTGAATATTATAACCTAATCTATCAAGGGGATAATTAATTGCAAGAAGCAAAATGTAAAGTAGGTCACAGAATTTTTAAAATATATATCTGGCAGTATTAGTGTAAGTAAAATAGAATGTGCCTGCTGTTTGAACAAGAAATTTCCACTTCCGCATACACAAACTACTNGGGGGGGGGGGTAGAAGAAGAAATCAGATAGTAATATTCATAGCTATTTGTTTTGTTCTTCAGACTAAATACCATTACTTGTTTAGAATGTGAAAACTAATACTTTTCATAGTGGGAGTTATAAATTTTGAATCAGCAATCCAGCACCTTAATCATGAACAAGAAATAGGAAACTAAAGACAAAGCAAGGTGAATAGCAGACTACAGAAAACAAGACCAAATTACAGTGTTATGCACTAAGGATTCAGAAATCAGAAGTAGAGAGGGTCATGTGAAAGGAAAGAGAATACTCGTTGGCCGTGAAATCTCTCTCTTTTACAATGTGAGGTGAAGACTGGAAGATAATGTGTCAATACTCAAAAAAAACTTGACGACATATATAAACATGGTATGAGCGGGTAATTAGGCTTAAATTAGAGCATTTATTACATATCTGAACTCGACGAGGCAGTTTTATGACTGCACTGAATGGTGAATTCTCATGGATAACCTTCTGTAGAATCTTTTCTCAATTAGAAGGGCATGTGCTTCATCTTAGTCTATCTCTTTTAAATTAGCGGAAAACTGCATTTTCGGAATGTTTTATTCAACATCCCTTGTCGTTTAACTTGTTCAGTATCTATGACATACTTTCACCACTAAAATCAAATACCATTCTTCTCAGCTCTATATTTACTAATTTCCCTTCACACATAAATGCCTTAGACGGATTTCTCTTATATCTGAACTGAGAATGTTTTATGATACCTTTTTCTCAAGAATGTTTCGTTCAATAGAGAACGTTACAATAATAGTTATCTCTGCGAGGATTTCTCCTACACTTAGATCTTTTAGGTGACTAATATAGACCAATGGAGCTCACCCTCAAATATCATATTATCCTTTGACAACTGTATATTCTTTAGGTTCTATCTTCCATCTGATCTTCCCTTTCTCTCAGAGGGAAACCTCCAAAGACCTTGGGAAACAAATAGCCGTTCACCTCAATCATAATGATATAAGCCCAGAGCTGTAATTTCATCCAGGATAGTTCGTAAGAAAATAAGGAAATTCTTAACGATGAATGAGAAAATTTAGAGTACATATGTTTGGATCATTTATACAAGGACTGCTAGTGTTGTGTCTCTTTTTCTAGGTTTTTAGATAAACTACACAATGTGTATTCGACCTACATATAAAAGCTGTTAAAGATGGAGAAAACCCTAAGCTAACAAGAAAATGGAATATCATGATAAAGAAAGTACCTACATTGTAGGGAAACTCTCTACTCTGCATCAAATCAGTAAGTGTAGCTTCCCCTTCGAAACGCCAAAGGAGCCAATACTCTGCTCCTTTCTTTGAAGAATTCTAGCACCATTTTAAACATAATTTATTCAAACTCTTAGAATTAGATTGCAATTTCCAGAGGTGTGATAGTATCTAAAGATGAACATGATAATGGCTATCAAACAAAATAACAAGTGTACCTCTAGAAACCCATAGAGAAAATCAGCACAACTGTTTGCACAAGCTCTTCGCACTCGCTCATTCATCCATATTTCCACTGCTCCATATTCAGTTGCTTTTTTTAAGACGAAATCACCACCCTTGAGGTAAATAAAATCGGAATTAACCACTCGTACCTGTTTGAGTTACAAACCATTCCTTGGAGCTTTTGTATACAACAACGGAAAAGTAACTTAATGTAAAGTGCCAACATCAAATTGTTAAGTGCGTTAGGACTTAGGGATCAGAATATATCGCTAAACTTAGAGAAATTTTATCAGAGACATACCTTTGACGATGGCTTTTTGGCCAAAGAAACTCTATAAACAGCACCAAAAGATCCCTCACCCAATTTCTTCCCCAACACGATATCATCCTGCAGAGAGAAGTTATGAGCATAATGTCACATATCGAAGAAGAGGACCTAAGCAATTGAGATGTGGTAAGTATCACTATCACATCACCTTCTTATAAGTAGGTCTAAACAATCTTTCAACAAAGGCAAGAACAAACATATCGAAGAAACCAGGGGCCACACCAGGAGTAGCCCAGAGGTAAGACAGGGTACCCAATGCCAAAATAACACCAGGAACAGTCACTGTGATCCCATTTGACTTTGGCAGTGTGCTTCTGTATATTATATCACCACACTCCATTACTGTACAGGGTAGTCCTACCCCAACTCCAACAAAAACATCATGTGCAAACCTAAACATTTCACCTCCATGAGCGTAAATTATCAACTTTCTGGGTAGCTTCTTCAACAAAGATAAAGGCTTCAGCTTGAGTTTGTTGCCCAGAAATGAAGAGTGGCTGTGGCTGTGGAGTACAACTCCACCTATGGCAACTGAAGCCATGGCTTTCTACACTATAGTTATAGTTGGATCAGAAAGGGCGCTCATCAGAAACTTGTTAGCTTTGGTTTGGACTTGTTACTGAATTTTTCGGATATTTCTTTTTGGGAGATTTCTTTTATATCAGTGGCAGTTATTGCAGGTGTATTTTTTGTGGAGGGAAGTGCTTGATTAGATTGGCGAAAATCCATAGCCACAAATGACACAGTTTCACCGATTGGCTCTGTCTTACACATATTTAGTGGGCTTCTTTTAAGGCACCAGGAGCCACTTTTTAATACCGTTTAAAATATATCCACTCTTTAAAAATATATTTAAAAATTAGTCATTTCACTCAATTTGAGGACTAAGTATCAACTTATTGTGTGTTTGGTACTAGAAAATAAAAATGAGTGGTTTTATCACTTATTTTCTCTTATTTTGTTGGTGAGTGAAAAACTTTTTCTGCAAAATATTTTTTAGTATTTAGTTAGAGAGTATAAAATATTTTTAGAAAAATAATTTTTTATGCTACTCACATCAAGCCACCTTCCCCAAAATCCCTATGTTTCCTGTACTCCTTCCCCCCTCCACCCCCTCCCCGGACTCTATTTTCTTCGAGAATTTAAATATTCTTTTCAAAATTCATACAAATCCAAAAAAACTAATGTACTACTTTTTCTACATCATGAAAAAAAGTATTTGTTTTGTTGAAATGAAAAAAACTACTTTTTTCACATTATGAAAAAAGTACTTGTTTTGTTGAAATGAAAGAAAATACTTTTACTACATCATGAAAAGAATATACTCATTTTGT